ATCTATACGTGACCGCGACGTTGCCGCTCGTTGAGGGAACGAGTAGTCCCGTGTTTTAGGTTCCGTTTCGCGCCACCCATCTTTTAGTCCAAGGTCACGCATTAGGCCTTGCAGACCCGCTACCGCCGTGTTGTTGTCTTCCCTGGGTGGTAGTCTGTCGACGGAGTCTTCGACAATGTTAAAGTCCCCCAGTACAACGTTCGGTTTATGCCTTGTTATGTATAGAGCCGACAGGTTCTCCCAGAAGCCTTCATTCTCGCTGGGCTGGTTCGGTGCGTATACATTAAGGATCTCCAGTCTCGATTGGCCGTGCCATGTCAGGCAGAGTACTGCCGCTCTTCCTGGGACCAAGGTTGTCATTTCTGCTCCTGCTATGTCTACTAGTATCTCCCTGTTTAGTACGAAGGCGACGCCTCGCGCATTTGTGGTGTCTGTGTCGCTGGAGAACAGAACTTTCATTCTTCGTCCGTAAAGGCGGTGTATGGTTTGTACCGTTTCGTCATCCAGGTGGGCCTCCTGGATTGCCATGATACCTATTCGCTGTTCGCGCATCAAAGCGTTTAGCGCGTTCCATTTGTTATTCGATGTTCCCGAGGTTGTGCCTCTACCGTTAATGTTGAGTGAGCCGACTTTTAAGGTCGCCTTCGTTTTCCTTCCGCTCCTGTGGCTCGTATCGTACCTCGCGTTGTGTTCAGTGTTTTGACTAGCTGGTTGGTTCAGACTCTCGACCGCCAGTCTCCGATCTGGTCGATCAGTGTCGAGGTCAGCCCTCTCTCCGTTTTCCCCCGTCAGTTCATCTGGTTCACTGTGGAAAGGGGACGCCGTTCGCCATCTCCGGCGGGGGTCGCTTATGCCGTTTGCCGTGCGTTCGTCCGTATGTGGTGTGTTTAGTTTGGATGATGATGCCGTTGCGTTACAATTCCACCGCTACAACGATGCGCGGTGGTCGGAGACTACTCCTGAGTCTCTCAGGTGACCTGTCGGATGCTACCCAGTAGCAGAGCGACTTCGGCCTCTCGGCCGAGGGTAAGTCTCGAAGTACCCTCGCTGGGAGAAGAAGACTTCAGCGCCGTCCTCGGCTTTCCTGTCCCGCTTGCGCAGTCAGTAAATTTGGGCCGTCTCGGGTGCCGATGTCTGATTAGTATAGACATGAATTCGGATCTCATAGGGAGCTATGATCAAGTTGGTAGCAATGGTATCGGTCGTAGTGGGACTTCCTTGCTAGTACGGTGCACCCCGCTATTGCACTTCCTTCGCCCAATTTGTTTTGCGACTGGGGGGAGCTCGAGGGTACATTCTGGGTGTATTCTAGGTTATTTCGTGGGCCTGCAGTATTTCGCGAATAAAGCGTGTATCCATTCGCAGCTTAAAGATAGGTAGTACACATAGACACTGTCAGGTTTGTATACCAGCCTTAGACAGGCGAAGCGAGATACAGAGTCGAGGGTACGTCGTCAAGAAAGGGGTCGGGCGCGTGCGATCGTAATAGAGTAGCGATATCGTATCGAGGTCAGGATAGTCACGGTATAGTGACGCAAGAAGTGAGGCATCGGTGGATGTGCAGCGCGTAAGTCGGGACACGAGGTAGAGCAGGACTGGATGATAAGAGGAAGTATATGGTATATAGTGCGCGGGTGCAGGCTATAGTCCTCGTGCGTGTATAGGCATTAGTCCGTCCAAAACACGACGCAGGACATGGGTCGTCTACTTGCGGTTTACGGCCTTGCCTTTACCCTTGTCGCGTCCGTTTCCGCGCTTCTCCTGGCGTCCGCGATCCGCATCTCGGTTGGCCTTCTTTTGTCCGCCGTTCTGGTCCGCTATCGCGACAGAGCCGGGGATCACGTCGTGCCAGCCCTCGACTTTTAGCAAATCGCACAGGCCGACGGGATGATCCACGGAGTGACAGTAAGCGCACCATAGTTTGCCTGTGAAGGGCTCGGGCTTCCCAGTCGCAGGGGTTCCGAAGTCGTGCGCGTGCAGGATTTTGCGGAACTTCTCCCATTCCGCTGGGTCCGCCGTCGGAGCCTCGATGAACAGACGGACGATAGGGTCTGGCTCGCCGTTCGTGATGTTTGCTAGGTGCTTCACTTTCATCGTCCTGAGCATCTCCTCGTATGCGCTATCGACGGTGAAAAACTGCCACTTGCCACTCTTAGCGATGTCCGTCGCAAAGATGCCCGAGATCGGGACTCGGAGGGCCGGCTTCCGGAGCTCGCGGTGGAAGACCGCGGTATAGCCTTCGTTGTTGCGCTTGCGGGCGCCGAGACGGTTGGGCTGGCGCCACGAGCCGGCGTAGTACGGGTTGTTTGCGTCAAGGGTGACGAAGCCAAAGGTGCCCTCGCGCGTCGAGAGCCATTTGAGGGCGAGGAGGTAGTCGCGCAGACCGTACGTGATGTTATGCATGAGGAAATAACGAGGAGCTTGGTTACGCTGTCCGGTTGGTCTGTGAGCGCATGCCGCCATGATGGTGCCGGTATCGGTATCGTTGTCCTCGAACTCGACGTAGTTCTCGAGGATCCCGTGCATGGACGATATACGTAGCTCCGTCCCAGGTTCATCCGAGCCGCATCGCGGGATGAAGAGAAGCAGGGCGGGTTCGTTCTTCCCGATTTGCGCCCAGGTCTGATGTTGCTTAGGCGACATACCTTCCGCCTTCGAGAACGCGTCGGCCCCCTCAACCGGCGGCCAGTCGTCGTCCGGGCGCTTCGTCGCACCGTTCGGGATTTCGATCAGCGCAAACGTTTCCGGAGTCTGCGACGCCGCGTAGGCCGGGCTCTGGGGGCGCATCGTGGAGTGCCGGGAGTGCAAGGATGGGCCAGCGCGCGGGCCCTCGACACGTTGCTGGAAGTTGTCGGGTGAGCTGCTGCGCGACTGCAAGCGACTCTCGAGACGGCGGCGAGGCATGGGTGGGTCAAGCTGGACGTCCATGTCAAAGATGTCGTTGCCGCGCTCCGCTCGTGGTTTGGTAATGATCCTGATCGGAGCTGAGGGCGGGGCTCCGTCGAACGTGATCAAAGCGGGCGTGGGCGCACGCTGGTGGCCATTCGGAGCCTCGGTACGCTCGATTCGCTCTGGCGAGGGAGCGCGTGTATGCGCGGACGTTGACGACGCCACGTTCACGTTCAGATCCTTTGCCCAGTACGGGCTGGCCCCAACTGTTAGATAGATTAGCTGTGTTACTCCTCATTGGACAGGTAGTCTTACATCCGAGCTGGGGGCCGGGACGCGCTGCGCTCCGGGCCATCGCCTGGACATCTTCGTCGAAGTGACCGATGACGATGCCGTCGTCATTGGCGGGTTCGTGGTCGACGGCCATCTCGTCACGCAGTTCCTCATCGTCGGCGTAGCTGACGCCACTGTCTTCGATGTTGCAACCGGTGCCATAGTCGGGGAGGTGGCCCCAGGCTCCAAGGCCGTAATCGGCCAGCGGTCCAACAACGAAGGCACCCATCGCCGGTGTACGCGCCGCAGTAAGTTGTCTTCCGGGATCCTGGCGAACGTTGGTGACTAGTGGTTCGCCGTCGTTCCCGACGTCCTCCGACACACGCCTGCGCTTCCTCGTTTCGCTCACCAAACGCTGCGAGCTTACGGCCGGCGAGGCGGGCATGGGCTCCTGCGTCGTTATGGCTTCGACCCCGAGTGACGCCAGCTGGCCGTTTTTCTGGTGACGTCCCGGTGCTGGCGTCGAGGTGGTCTAGTTCCGAGCAAGCTCGTTGTGGTTAGAGGGTTGTAGCGCGGTATAGGTAAGTGTAGGTTCACCTCTCCGTTTGTTTCGGGAGCGTCCGCGTTCTGTACCGCGCTTTCCACCGCGACGGCGTTCTCCGCGGTGTTAGCCCCCGTTCGCGTGTCGTCTTGCTCGTCGGTCTGTGCTGGTCCGTCTGCGACGAGCCCCTGCCCTGGGCCCTCTACCTGGTCCTGTGCCGACGGTTGTTGCGTCACTTCCGGAGTGTCTATCGGTGTTATTCTTTCGCGTTAGTCGCGATTAAGTTCAGTTGTGCGTGCTCACCCTCTATCGTCGGCAAGCCTGGGGTTGGCTGCCACGGGTTGGGGGGAAAGGGCAGCCCAGCATCGCTGTTTCCGTCTGCGAGGCTCGCAGCGGCTCGCCTTCCGGGGCGGCTCGGTGCATCACGCTGCTTCTGATGGCTTCGTTCGTTCTTCCCGGCGCGTTTAGGCATCGTCGTCGGAGGCTGGGGCTAGTGAAGCTGAGGTTTTGGGCAGTTTAGAGGCAGAGGGGCGCCACTTCAGGAGGAGGGCGCTGGAGACTGTCCATTCGCCACGTCTCGTCTCGTCTTTTCAGTTGTATGGGCGTCCGTTGGTTCGTGCGCGATAGGCAGTAAATCGCGACGGCGTCGGTCTTCACGCGTTCCTCTCCCGCGCTGTTCGCTTGGTGCCTCTCGCGTTGAGCTGTTTTTGCCCTTCTGGCCGCCGTGTATAGTCATTGGATTTGCCTACCATGCGATCCTACGTTCCCTGTCACTTCCATTTGCACTTCATCAAAATGGGGCAGCTTTATCGACTCGTTTCCTCGACTCGTATTGGTTGGGGTGGACGTACTCTCCTCTTTTTGTGGTTGTGCCTCGCTTCTCGGTAGGGTCTCTGCTGCTGCGGTGCGAGAGGGACGGGGAGATGTCGTTGGCGTCGCCATCAGGGGTGGGGAGTTAACGGTAGATGTTTGCTTGCATTTGTTGGTGGCGTTCTCCATCAGCTGCGCTCGTGTTTGGGTGCGCTGGAAAGAGCCGTGGCCGTTGTGGGCCATGCTAAATTAGGATGGGTTATTGTTTGGACTTGCCATAACAGGCTGTGTTATTGTTTGGACTTGCCATAACAGGCTGTGTTCCTCATTCGCCTTCCATAACGGGCTGTTTGATTCTCTCCTCCGCTCCAGATCGTTGTCCGGGCCCATTGCTTCGGGATTGGTTGTTTTTGCCGAAGACGTCGGCTTCCGTTTTCCGTACGGGTCGTGTCCCTGGGCCGCAGTTAGGCTCTTATTTGTCCGCGCTCGGCAGTCTGTCCCTGCCCAGCCGCCTCTGGGGTGGTCGTATTCGTTTAGTGCAGTGCGCGGTGTGTTGGCTTGTCGTGCACGTTTTCACTTTGCCGTCCGGCTCAGGCCTGGTATGTAATAATGTGTTTCTTTGTGCCTTAGAAAGCTGAATTTCTTGTTGCCTTCGTTACATCTAGACATGTGTTCGTCTGATTGTGGTAGTGCATTCTATTCTAGCTAGGCATTAGGGTCGTGGGTACTGCCGTATTGATTGTCCCTCATTGAGCGCGCTGTTGTGATCCTATCTCCTCTGTAATCGCGTCCGCTTCTGCATCCAGCCTCTCCTCCGCGGGGGTGCCCGGCGAGATCCGGGGCGCGAGGGTCTTCCATCTCGTGCTCGTTTTCAGACGCCGTTGCATGTGATCCCTGTCACGTGTGCCGTGATCGCGTTTGTATGGGCTGGTTTCGATTGCGTTTGAGTCGTCGGAGTGGCTTGGGATGGATGGGTGGGGATGAGGGAGACTCTGCAGTGTCGCGTACAGAGTTGTGTGGGCGTGCTCGTCCATCCGGCTCAGGCGTATCCACGAGACCGGTATGCGTACGCGGGTCCGCAAGATGCCGCCTGTTAGTTGTACTGTTACCCAATGTTTTGTGATGTTCCGGGTAACCGTAATTCTGCCCGACCCTATGATTTTCGTCGTGGTTCGCATCGTTATCACGTGGCCTCTCGCGAGGGGGCTCTGAGGCGGCTTCGCCATAATCCAAACACAGATTCGTTCTTCATCGTCAGTGTCTCCATCTTTCGCCTCTGCCCATTCCGGTTCGTCTTCCACCCATACCTCGAACGTGTTGTTGGTTATCGCGGAGGGTCGTGAATGTGAAGTCGGTCGGATGGGGGAGTGTTTGGGAGTATGCGTGTGTGCGTTCCGTGGTCGTCGTCGGCTGTTGTCCGATGTTGTGTGTTCGTTGTCGTTCTTTTGGGACGTGAAGGTCAGGAACATTGTGGGACAACTGGCTTTGTCTCACCGTGTCATTTTTGCAGGTTTTTATGTATGGGTTGCGCGTCTTTCATTGACGTTTGGACGTGATGAGATACGTAAGTCGCTTAGGATATGCCTATCTGCACGGAGTTGTTCGCATTCTGACAGGTAGCGGTCAGGGGAATCAAGGAGAGTATTGCTGCAGGCGAAGTGGACTATGTCGGTGTAACGTATGCGTTCGTCTCTGTAGTTCCAGAGGCCACTGCTGTTTCTGTCTGTCTTTCGTGCCCCATTTGGTAGGTGGCTTGCGTGTTTTCCTGTGTTTGTGGGTGGCTCGTGTAAACTTAAATTCGGTGGCTGTTGCCAGGCGCTTTTATGGGCGTCTAACGAGCGCTTCCGGCATTGTCCCTCGCTGGGTAGTGTACCGAGAATATTGCGACTTCCGCATGAGTTGCGTGGAGAGTGCTTTCGTATTAGCTACTCTTTCGGTTATCAGGCTTGTAGGCCTTACTTGTGGGTGTGCTCCCGTTTCTGTCCGCCCGTGTAAGGGTGGATTGTCAAGGGTGACTTCAGATGTGGTCGCTTGCAGCAACGCCGGGCCATGAGCTTGTTTCACTTTAAGGCCTTATAGTGCATGTTGGTTTCGCCTCAGAGAGGTTACTTATCCCCCGGACCACGAAAAGGTCTGCACAGGGCTCGTCTGAACGACGAGTCCCTCCCGGGGGGAGACAGGACTGTTCCTCACAAGTTCCTCAGCCGTCTCATCCTCTCGCGCCCTCGACCGTCCCTTGAGTGTATGCTGGCCCAATACGGTGGGGTATAACACTGCACACACACGGATTGGCTGGAGAACGAAAAAGGTGCCATGTCTGCGACCCTGACCTACCAAGAACGACACTACTAACATACGCCCCCGTCCCCGCAGGGACAATCGCATAGGTATAGCATACAGCTGCGCGAGGCTCCTCATTGGCGACGATCCCCACCATACTCACCGCGCGCGTTCACCCTCAGCTCCTGGCGCGCCTCTCCTGGACCGGCCCATCCTGCGTATTGAACACTCGGAATCCCCTCCCCTCCCCCGCACAACGTCGATCGCTGGAATGCGTGCCACGTTCATCAGCCAGCTGTTCCCTGGCTCCATACAGTGGGATCTTGATCCCCGGTGACATGGGCGCTGGCGAGCAAACTTCGCATCTTAGGTGAGTTCTCCCTCAGTGCATGCAGGGCGAAACTACTCACCATGTGAGAACAGCACCTGTACGGCTCAGCATGCAGTTCCGCACCCCGCTCTCTCCGCCTCACTCACGCCTCCGGACCCCGCCCGCCTGGCATTGACACCGCCTGTCTGCTTTGGCGGCCGCAACCGTCGCATGCAGCTGCGCAGCCTTTCGGCCTGTGAACGAGTCGACGCACGGCCCTCTTCGTGGTAAGCACCCATGGCAGACTGCGGAATGCTTCCGCCGCATCTGCGCCGCCGCGGGCGTCCATCCTTCGTGTTCAAAGCTCGGGATCCACTCGCCCGTACGTCGACATCCTCCTCCTCCCTCGGACGTCACTTCCAGTGACGTGTTCTGTCGCGCCTCCACCAGCCAGCTCCCTACCAAGGGATCTGGATCCCCGGACGAGCAGTCATTTCAAACAAGGTCAGTTGTCTCTCACTGTACACGCAGCGCGAAAAGTACTCACGCCCGCATAGCAAGGGGGCCCTCGCCCCACGCCCGAGCCCGGCCTGCTGGAGATCGACACGCTCCGTCCACCGCCCGACGGGCGTGTCCCTCGGGTCGCCAGTGCACAGAAGACCTGGGAAGTAACGCGGCAGATGAGTAGGGCACCGACGTAAGTCTCCAATCATGCATTCATCATTGTCGTACTCACCTTCAGCGAGACAGCCTCGCGCGCTTTCCGGCCATCCGCACGCGCCACCTTCTCACTACCCGCCACGTCAAACAGCCGCACGGGCATCCAGCTCCCCCGTAACTCGATCCGCCGTGGCTTCATCGGTTGCGCGGCGATCCGCGAACGCGAGCCACGCGCCGATCTCCAGGCAGTGGCTGAGTCGAGCACGTTCTCGCGGGCGTGCTCGCCGGACGACGATACGTCGTGTCTGCGCTTGTCAGGCAGAGCGGTGGCGGTCATTCGCAGGGAGACGGTGTGGTGAACGGCAATGACCCGCAGGGAGACAGGACACGAGCGCAGAGGCCATCGTGCCGTGCGAGTATCGTCCCCGGTGCTGTACCATCGAGGTGAGTTCGGTTCCACCTGTCGTGCAGGGCGACTGCACTCACCCTGTCCCGCCTAGGTATATCCGTGCGCTTCGCACCCACTATCCGGCTGTGCGCGCGGCCCGCCTGCATGCGTCGACCGTCTGACAAAAATGCGCGCGGCGTTTGAGCGTTCCGAGGACCTGCGAAGCAACGCGGCAGACGTGTAGGATGCCAGGTGAGCTGTATCCCACTGTATGTGAGACAATCCCGTGCTCACCTTTGGCCAAGGTAACTCGCTGGCGGGAGCTGGCGGCTTGCGAACGGCACCTCGGGCGCGTCAACGGCGCTAGTGCATTGCAGGGGTACGCCCAACCCGCGCGGGTCGCGGGTAGGGGTACGCGCGGGTAGGGGTCCGGGTAGCGATTTCCGTACCCGCCTACCCGCCCTGCAGTCGTGCGGGTATTGCCAAAAGCGGCAACCCCGCGAGCGCCCGGTCTGCCCCTCTCGAGTTCCACCAGGTCGACTCGCCCACGCCCACGGTCTCAGCCTCAGCAACACGACGCACACGCGCGCGGCGAGCACCCACGAAGACCACGCGTGCGAACGCAATGCAAACGCAGCCGACAAAGCCACCGCGAGCCCGGGCGCGGCGACGAACGGGCGGCAGGCCTGGATGACAAGTGGACGGCGGGCAGGGGTGGATGACTGGCGGGGACGGGCGAGGGTGAGGGCGAGGGCGAGGGCAAGGTGAGTCCAGGCACACGCGCGCGAGCTCACTAACGGCAGGCGCAGGACGCGGCGACGTGCAGCGCGACGCGCATGACGACCGCGGGCACGCAGGGCCAATGCCCTGCGTGTAGGCACGGCCGACGAACAAGCGGCACGAGCGGGCGGGCGGCAGCACGTCGACCGCGAGCGCGCTGGGCAACTGCCCAGCATGCAAACACGACCGACGAATGCGCCCAATGCGAGCGGACGCACGGACGCACGGACGCGAGGACGGGCGA